GAAGAAGACATGATTTCACATGTTTTAAAGAGTGTACACCTAAAACACAGATTTCCAAACTTAGGCATCATTCATCAAAAAGTTAAAAGGGGCTTTTTCCGCACATGCACAGATTTCAGACTAACAGGATTTACTTGTTTTCTGTCTGTTCCTGGGGAACCTTTGCAGTTTTTTTCCCAAGACTGTCCCTACAGGCTGCTATCCAACATACATCAGATGCTCTTGGAGCAACAGATAACTCTGGAAGGACATTTACAAAGGGCACAAATCAAGTAAAATTTAGGCATATTGGGGGAGGGTAGAATTACTCCTGTATGCAGATAACCTGAACACTTGACACAGTCCCCTGGAAAGCTTTATTCATGCATCTAAGTATTTTTTTTCAGATGTCTTACTAGCAAAACATATATTTTAAGTCAATAAAAAAATTATTGCAACTTAAAAAGTGAATCCCTTTCAAAAACACTCAGGTTAATTTTAGCATCCTTCTGTTTAGCTGCTTAGCAACACTTATCCTATGACCTTCTAAGCACCACCTACTTTTACAAGGGATAATGAATATAACCAAAGGGATTTATCTATATGTTTTTAATCTATACAGTGTTAAGTACATTGACAGTTTTTATTTAAATGAGAAATCCAACTGAGAGCAACTCAAATTGTTTCTCCTCAAGAAAGTTTCACAAACTAAAGTCAAGCTACTGCTACGACTGTAGTATGACTTCAGCACATGCAAAATTATAAAATCCTTAAGGAGTGAGGAAAGCACTACAGAAGTCAGTGTTTCTATGCCTTGGGAAACACTGCACTTGCCTTTGGTACCAAAGGAGATTACAGATATTACTAACGGATAACAAAGAGATTAAGTTTTTCCAGTTTTGAAACTTCCAAGTATCTCCTCATCCTCAGAATCAAAAAGAAAAGCCATTTGGTCAGAGGGTCACTGAGTATTGTGAAGAGTTAAGAATGGACACACAACCTGAGTGAGTTGAGTCAGAATAAGATGCTTCATTACACTGAAATCTGCAACTAAAGCTTCAAACACCCAGGTCCAGGTGAAAAAACAAACAAACAAAAAACCCAGAAAAACAGTCAGCAAACACCCTGCTCTATTCTGTCTTAATACCAAGCAACATACATATATATATATATATATTTAGAGTCATTAGTTATCAAAATGTGTAAAAGTGGCTACATAAATACTCACTTCTGATGGGCAAACAACAGTTTGACTACTAGAAGCTGTCTGTGAAATGAGAGCAGAACAAAAATTTACTCAATTGTACTTTAAGAGTGTTTTCCCAACTACATGATACGAATTCAGTTCCAAACACGGATGCCAGGAGGAGGAAGGTGAGGGAGCAAAAGAGGCCACACTCGGTCGAGAACAGCTGCCCCGCAGCAAGAGAAGCTGGACGTGTCCCTGCCGGCAGGTGAGGGAGAGCCCTGGTACTCTGATTGATTGGATGATGGATTCATGCTGTTTCTGGGTTTCTAACAAACAAAAGGGCCTATTCTTTCCTGGATGTACCCAACTCCCGTTAAGGCTAATCGGCATTATGCAGGCACACCAAGAAAAGACTATGTACCCTTAAGTCTTCAAAGAGAAAATTAAAACCTAAAACAAATATGGCTGGCCTGACCCTGAGTCACTGCATCCCTTTCACGCACGCTGACCCTGTGGAAAACAGGAACTGCGGTAACAAAACTCGGTGCTTGTGTCAAAACGACAGACCTCAACGAAAAAACTTCAGCCATCATAACAGCTGTCTACTGTGCACTGTAGGGGTGGCAACACAGCATTATTTAGCAACTACTCCTGTTGTTAATAGGCAAGTTTTTTTCCAAGGCACGGGGCTAGGGCTGGATCTTGGAACGGTAAGAAACATCAGCTACATTTGCTGTATCTCCTAGACCACCGCCCCCAAATCCCACTGAACTAGAAGTTTACTTTCTCAGATACATAAATACACTTGATCTTATCTCCAAGAGAAGACAGGCGAAAGAACGAGTCGGAATTAAAACTGGATGGTTGGTCTCCCTCCACTAACACTACCCTGCCTCCCTTCCAGAAATCAGCTCAGTGGCTGCCGGGCGGGATGCTGGCTCCTGGACAGGCAGGACCAGAGCATCAGCCGCGGGCCGGACACCCCGGCGCGGCCGTGGGAGGGCGGCGGGGCACGGAGGCGCCCGGGCCTCCGCGGGGTGCGCAGCCGAGCAGAGCGGGCCGGGCAGGGAAATATGCTGAGCCAGGAGAAGCGCTCTCCTCCTCCTGCGCAACCCCGCGAGGATGCCGAGCAGGCGAAGATATCGCAGCCGAGAGGTGAAACGGGGAAAATTATTTAGGAAAAAAAAAAAAAAAGAGAGAGATAAAAAAAAAATCAAGCGTGCGTGTGGAGGGGAGGCGGGGGAGAAGTGCAGGGGGAAGAAGCCAGAGGAAACTTATCTGCGACATGACAAAGTTCAGTCCACCACCCTCCCTCCTCTACTGAAAAAAAAGTTGCAGCATCTCGGCTCGCCGCACTCCCCCCCGGCCCAGCCCGGCCCGCGACCCCCGCGGCCCCTCACCCTCAGCGAATAGGGCGGGGGGGATGCCGAGCCCGTGTGTTACAAACTGGGCAGGAGGAGCTGCCTCGCATCCTCACCCCGCGGAGCTGCGGGGGGGTGTCCCGGCCCGTAGCAACGGCGATGGGGAGGGAGCGCAGTCGCCCGAGAGACGGGTCTCGGCCGGCTCCCATCCGCACCGGGCACCGCGGCGGGGGGGCGGCCGCCGCACCGCCCCCAACTTTGTTTTCACCCCAAACACCGCCACTACGGGGGGGAACACTGCCTCGCTGTCGTCCCCCCCGCGCCAAGATGGGTGTGAGTGGGGGCGAGGGCCCGGACACCCCTCCTCAGCCTCGGATGCTGCCCGGCTCCTTCCTGTAGTGGTGACGCCGCCCAGGCGTCCCTGCCCGCCGATGGCCCCTACGCACAGGGATGTGTTCCTGGCACCGCACAAAGGCAGCGGGACAGGGGGGGACCCGCGGGGGGGCAGCGCCCCCCACCCTCCTCGGGCACGGCTCCCCCCCGCCCCCGCCGCGCAGGCCGGCAGGGGAAAGGACACGCACGTCCCTACCGGGACGGGGGGGGGGGGGGGGCACGGGGGAGCGGCTGGAGAAAGTGGAGGAAAGGGGAAAAAATAAAATAAAGTGAGGAAGAGGGGGAGAGAGGAGAGGGGAGAGGTATCAGGGTGCCGAGGAAGGGCAGGCACGGCCGTCCAGCCCCGCCGGGGGGGCGGAAAGTCAGCGGAGAGATGCGCAGCGCAAGCCGGCTCTACCTGCGAAGAAGGGGCGCCTTCATCCCAACTTCCCAGCTCCGGCGCGGCCCTCCCAGCCGGGAACAGCGGGCAGGGGCCGCCGCGGGACCCGCCGCCACCGCCGGCAGGAAAATAAGCCCGAAGGAAAAGTTAAAAGGCAATCTCGGGAGACGGGGGCGAGCCGGGCTAGAAGATGTTGCTTCCTCGCAGCCCCATCCAAATTGTGGCGGTGGCTGGTTAAAAATAAACTTTGCAGCAGGAGGGGGGGGATGATCTGGCCGGATTCCTGAGCTCAGACGGTTTAATATGGATGAGCATCAGGTCCTGAAGGCAAAACGCCGCGGCTGGTGCCGCTGGTTGGTAGAAAGTCTGCAACAGGGAAGGGGAAAAAAAAAAAAAAAACAGGAGCCGCGGAGGGAGGAGGGAGGAGCGGGGGAAGGGAAGAGGGAGGCTGCACGAACTCATCATCATCACCGCTGCCAGCCTGAGCTCAGACGGTTTAATATGGATGAGCATCAGGTCCTGAAGGCAAAACGCCGCGGCTGGTGCCGCTGGTTGGTAGAAAGTCTGCAACAGGGAAGGGGAAAAAAAAAAAAAAAAAAACAGGAGCCGCGGAGGGAGGAGAGGAGAGGGAGGAGCGGGGGAAGGGAAGAGGGAGGCTGCACGAACTCATCATCATCACCGCTGCCAGCCAAACTTTTTTCCTCCTCTTTTTTTTTTTTTAAAGGAAACTTTTTCCCCCCAGTAACAAGCATTTCATTTTTAAAAATAAGTCGCACAACCAGCCGACAGGCTGCAACGTCCTCACCCCCGCGCCTGCCCCCTCCAAGAAGTTTATTTTTCCTCCTCTTTCTCCCCCCCCTCACCTTAAGAAAAAGAAAAGAAGAGGGGAAAAAAAAAATAGATCCCTCCGGAGTTAAAGCACGCTCCTGCCCTTTGTGAGGGAGCGCGGCGGCCGGGCAGCCCCGCGGTACTTACGCCGGACTTTGCTGGGGCTGGGCTGCTTGCGCCGCGACATGCCGGGAGGATGGGCCGCCGGGGGGGCGCGGGGGCGCGCCGGGGGGAGCGCGCACGGGAGGGAGCCGCAAACTTGTTCCGGAAAAAGGAATCAAAATGGCGTTTCTGTGGATGTGCAAAGTTCATCAACTCCGCGCTAACTTCCCGTCCTCCGCGCCTCCCTGGAGGGGAGAGATGGGCACGGTTAGGGACCCCGCCGCGCCGCGCTCCGCGGGCGCCCCCGCCCCCTGCCCGCCCCCGCGCTGCCCCGCGCACCCTGATAAGGAGACACATCACGTGTCGCTCCGGCTCCTCTCCCGGGGACGCGCTACCGCGGCAGCAGTAGCCTGTTGCAAATAGCATCTCTAACTCGCCCTCGTCGCGGGGAGGGAGGGGCGCCTCCAAGGAGAGGAGTGAGCACAACTTTCCTCCCCCCCGCTTCTTCCTCCCTCTCTCCCTCCCTCCTGCGCCCGGCAGCGCAGCAGCGGGATGCCCCGGGCAGGCGCGGGGGGAGCGGGGGGGCGGCCAGGTGCCACGCGGCGCCCCGCGCCCTCCCGCTGCTCCGGCGGCCGCGCCCGCGGGGCTCTCCCGGGGCTCTCCCAGGCGGGCCTGCCCTGCCCGGCCCAACCCGGCCCGGCCCGGCCGGCGGCCACGGTCCGGGCCGGGCGTGCGTGTCCCCCGAGCAGGCGGCTCTCCCCGGCTCGGGGCTGGAGCGCATCCGGAGCCGCCGGTGGTGGTGTCGCGCTGCCGGCTTTAAGGAATTCATCGGGGCTCTCCGCTGCCCGTGAAAATGTCTGTGCGTCCTCCTCCTCCTCTTCCCAGCCCAGTGCCTCACCAGGTACAGCGTCCGCAGCCCGCTGCTCTGTTGGCAGAAGTCGGCTTCTGGTTGTGTTTGTTTGTTTCCTCAGAAACTTTCGTCCTTGCGCGATTTGGGTCTCAGCTGGGGTCAGTCATCCATCCAGCTGACGAAACCTAAAGGACGTGAAATTTAACAGGACCCTGAACATCAGCATTGGAACAGGAGGTCCAAATGCTGTTCCTAATCAAAGGCAAGATGCGGCTGCTTGCAAGCACGGGTAGTTACACGCTGCACAGGCGCTGTGCACGGCACTGCATGCACGGTCCTTCCTCCACTTTCCCTGCAGTGGAAGTTCAGAGATGTAGAAGAAGACTCAACAAGTGATGGAGAGGTGTGTTCAGAGTCGTGGGGCTTTCACTTTAAAGACAGTACCGGTTTAGAGTTGTGTGACAAATAATAACAGTACATAAAAACAAAATATTTGGCAACACTCCATCTTGAAAGCTTGATAGGGAAAAAAAAAAGTAAACCAACACTGCTTCCGAGGAGTGTCCTAATGAGTATAGCAGGAACCAGTTACCCGTTTACACTTTATGGAAATGGTTATTTACACTATGTCTAAAGCTACTAAAGCTAGGCCTTTTAAAACTGCTATTGGTGAGATGGAACCTGAAGTCTCTGGCTGTTTTTTTTAAAGAAATCAAGTTATGACCTCTGGGCAAAAGGCTTGTACCAGCTTATATGGTATCCTATCTCCTCATTGAAAAGGGATTCACATGGAAAAGAAGGCTAAGTTCCAGGTATGTGGCAGTAAGCCTACTCTTTTCAAAAACGGTCCGTTGCCTGTAAGATGTCATGATTAACTTCATTTGCACCATTCTTTTCAAGTACTGGATAAAGGCATACAAGTCCAGAATACACAGGTCCTGTCTGAAAGATGTGAGCTGTGCTTCATGTCAGGAATAGCTCTCTTCCCTTATGGACTCCCAAGTAAAACACCTGCAGGTGTGGTGAGCTGGAACTTGGAAAAGCCAAAGCTGCAAAACCGAAAGGCGCACACGTGTGTGCATTCAGAACCCGAAACTGCAGCTTTAACCTGCTTGTGTTTGTTGTGTGGTTTCTGCAGGCTGAATTTTTGTCACCTGAGTTTTGTGCAGTGTTACACATGAGCTTTGTAGATAAATTTTAATACCATTAAGCTCTGTTAAAGCGGAGTTGCTGACTGACAGAAGAGCAATATCATGCTTTACCCCACAATATGAGCCACAAACATTAGAAAGCACATTCTCATTGTTCTTATTTTACCAAAAACAGTCAAGGGAAGCCATTACAAATAAATTGATCGCAAAGTGTCTTTAACCTTTTCATCTCTGTCCCCGTTGTACCTGCCAACCTGCAGTGGCAGAGCTCCTGGTAAATTCAACAGCTTTGTAGCCAGCTTACATCTTTACTTCAGTATCTCTTGTGGTCAGGCATCCAATTAAACAAAAACCTGAGCAGTTTGACCGTCTCAGGCTCAGCCCTTAAAACATATTGTTCACATTGCAAGACTGCTGTGATTTAAGCCTGCACAGCACGTACATATGGACTCACGGAGACTGGGCCTGGTTTACACAGCCATTTACATAAGTGGCTGCAAGTGAAACTGGTGAAAATTCCTGTATGGGTAATCATATTTGGAGGTTAGCAATGCATGTGTCATTGATCTCTGGCTAATATCTCTAGAGTAGTCTTGGGGGCATTTTGGACCACTTCTGTATGAAGATTCTCATCTACCCTTGATGTATTTTCTAACTTCAGAGGTGCTGAAGAGCCTTCCATGTAGGAAGATTAGCAAGCATAGATGGAATAGAAGAACAAGTGTTTTTCAATTCAGCATCTGCTCTAGAAATGTGAAAATGTAAAGCTCGCATTGGAAAAAAATTAGGATTTTAGTACTTGGAGAAAATATGTAGATAATTTTTAAATTGCATTTGTGTTTTTAACATCCCTGTTCTTTCAGAAAGATGTAATGAGGGGTGAACCAGTACATACCGTGTTACATTAATGCTAGAAATTAAAAAAATAAACAAACACACAAACCCCCTAACAATGCAAAAGGGTAATGTAATAACAAAAAAACCTGGTTAACTACCAGGGTTTATGAAATAGTAAAAAGTGATATGTCTTTTAATAGTTTAGGAATTAATTATAATTCTGAGCTATTGCAAGGCAACAGAAATTAAAACAACTCAGTTTTCCAACTTTCTGTCATTTGAACTTTTATAATGCATCAGGGAGGTAGAAAAACTATTGTGGTCTAATATTGAATGTGAAATTTGGGGCAAATGGGGGTTTTTATTATTATTTATTGGAGTGAAAGAGAAGGTAGAGATACTTTTTGTATAATAAAACCCACTGTTATGAATGACTCTCCCAGAATGTTACTACATGATACAGCTGTTTTCATCACTGCAATTTTTACCATCTACATTACTGTGGTTTAGCCCATCTCCTGTGACTGCTCTATAACAGTTTAAGTAGTAAGTCTTTTATCTCCTAGGACTAGTCAGTTTCTATACAATATCCAGTTTCTGGGTATTGTGATATCAATACTTAATAGTGATGATAAACACACTAAGGGGCAAGACTTTCTCTAGTTTTTATATAACCCTCGCATAGCTCTCTAATCCTACACTGTGATGTTAAATACAATGAGCAATAGTAGAAATAAAAACAATAGTTTTGTGAAGGTGTTTAGTGTGTTATCAAATTCATTAACACCACTGGGTGACATAAAAGCCACCTGCTGTGGTCCCAAGAAAAGGACAACTCAGCCCCCACCCACAATTCAAATATCAGAGATGCTGATTAAAGGTATTCAAGGAGAGAAGAAAAACAGGATGTGTAGCTTATAGGAAGGCTGCAATCTGAGGATGTCTTAAAGCATGGAGACTAAAGCTAACATTGGCAGTAAAAGAGGAGTTAAAGGTTAGCTAGAAAATCTTTCCCCCTTCCCCCATCTTATTTGACATTATCAATGTTCTCTGCCTTAGATCATGGTATTTAGAAGTTACTTTAATTTCTTGTAAACTTACAGAACCCTTTCAGCCAAAACAGTTCTGAGTGAGGCAGTTCTCTGACTAACCAGGAGTATTTCATATGCTGTAAGAGGCAGGGCTGGACCCTGACTTTCTAACACCTCATGACTGCTGGGTGAGGGCAGCTGCCAGGCCCCAGCTCCCTCACCCTGCGGTGTGGCTGTCCAGCCACAGAGGACGTCAGAGGCATCGGAAGCCCCATGCCCTGCCTGAGCTTATGCCTGCCTGCATAGCATAGAGTCCTCTCACTGCCATCCTTTTCCTGATGTCCTCACTCGTGTCAAGAGGCAGAACTCAGATGACATACTAATGCAGGGCAAAGCCTGCTTGGAGGATCAGAGAATACAGCCCTGAGGGCTTTGAGAAATAAGTCTTTATAAAACCTAAGACCCAAAGAAATGCTTGAATTTCCTTTATGTTTCAACCAGTTATTTCTTTAAATGAACAAACATGCTACTGCTGAGTCTTCTCATGGGTTGGGGTTTTGCTTTGCTTTAGTGGGTTTTTTTCCTTCAACTGAGACACAGGTTTCTTGGATCAAAAATCCCTTATATACTAATGCAGAACTGACAAGTGTGACCACCACAGAGGCAGGGAATTATACAGAATAAAAGTTTAACTAAATATATTTCCTATAAATTGCTTGGAAAATTAAACTTGGTGAATTTGTGTATCGGAAAACCACACAGAAAAGCACATCATGTAAGACCAGCTGCAAACCCTCTCAGAGCATTTGTCTGATGACACGGCATCATACAGCATTCCCGTTTTCCCCACGTAGGGAAATGTGATGCACCACCGTGCTCAAGTACCGTGGCCTCTGGAAATCAGGCTGCTGGGGAGCGAGGGAGTGGTGGAACTTGCTCCTGCAGCATCCCCACCCACTATATCCAAGGGCAGCTTTGGATGATCAGAAAGTCAAGGCCAAAGTTTCAGTCCAAATTTATCTTAACATTAGCCTTCACAGTGTGAAAGAAAAGCTGAGGTATCCCAGCGTGCTTCAGCAATTTCCTTCACATCACAACAGCCTGGTAGTGGCAAGGCTGGAATTAAAACCAGTATTTCTCCCCAAATCCCAGTGTAGTTCTTCAGGCACAAAGTCAGCCACTCTGCTGTGTGATTCTTCTCAGTAGACATTTAGTGATAACAAACAGCAAAAATAAAAGATCAAGTATAAGTATTTGCTCCCTGTTTGCCCTGAGACATTTCAGCACTGGAAAACTGACCTTGAGCTGACTCACAAGACTACCTTTTGACAAAGGACTCATCTGGAAATACAGAGACAGTATTTCTGAAACCCACACCACTTTTTCCCCCCCACCCAGATCACAGCCTGTAGGGCATGTTGCAGAACTGCTTAAAGTCTCTGGCTGCAATAATTGCTAGTCCTATCTCCTTCTCTCCTTTCACTGTGGGAGTCTCCAGCTGATGGATGCAATGCAGAGCAGCCCTGCTGCTAGGACTGGACAAGCTTGATGAACTAGTCCCTTTCCCCAGCTCTGGTTTTCAGGATGTGAAAAGTAGCAAAAACTATTCCCCTATACTATTGTAGCAATAACCAGTGTTTCTAAATCCTTTTTAGGGAAGTTCACCAACCTAAACCTATTCTTTCAAGATATAAAGTCATAACTACAGATAATGGCTAAAGGGATAATCAACTGATAATAAGCCTTGTAACCAAAAGAAATACCAGAGGCACAAAAGAGTGTTAATGCAGTTTTAGTAATGAAAATTCTTAAAAGAGAAGGATTTAAAAATAGTATGTTTTAAATGACTACAAGTAAGATTCCCTCCTGCAGATTTAATTAGTTAGCAGATTTTGGAACAGCACAGCCTACTTAGACTGTTTAAAAAGATAGCATGAAAAAACTAACAGGCAGATGTTTGACATTTACATTCTAAAGCAGTTCTGTGTTCATTAATGTGCACCTCAGAAACAGGCTGCATAACCTGTGTGCAAGTGTGTCTATGTAGAGACAGAGTGGGAAAAAGAACAACAGTAAGCAAAAACACCCGCTGCAATACTTTCACTTGTTTTAAAACTCTGCATTGTTGCCCAGGTAATGCAAAAAACACAGGTGTGCAAAAAGAAGTTAGTGTTTAATGCCCAGCTTGTGATTTGGTACTGAACATGACATGTTTCATTCTTATTGACCACCCAGCCTCTCACACCTAATTGATTGTTGGCTTAAATGCGATTATTTTCCCTCCTGAAGGCAAGTAGTAAGCCAGCTGTGTGCTTCCCCTGTCCCATTTGCTAGGGAGAGTGGATTCTGAAACCTCTCACAAGTAAAATAAATGCTCATGCTAACAGTAGCTTCTTCATGTTCAGTTGTTCAAAGGGCTGCAGTAGCACCAGTGGCGACATCAGCAGCTAAAGGAAGGCAGCAATATCCAGCTGAAGCATCACTTACTATCTTTCGGTGTTATAGGCTAGAAATGGAAGATGCCTGCTGTTCATTCCCTGAGGCTGCCATGGTATTTCTCTATGCAGTTTACTTTTCTTTACGGTCTTGGTTTAGTTTTAAGTATCCTCAGTTATGGAGGATTTGACAGCTACTGTTGGGAGCTTGGTCCATACTCTTGCAGGGTTTGCTATCGGGATGATTTTTCCAGTCTACATTTTTTTTTTTTCTTAACTTCGTAGCACAGCTAATTTTATCCTAAAGAGTGCAAGTAGAAAAGGGGATGGGAAGAAGGAAACCCCAACCAGCCCAGGGAAAATACAGTAGACAATGCTTTGAGATGCACCCACAAAGTAGCAGAAAATAGGTAGAGAGGGCCAGCAAGCAGCAGAGAAGCAAAGAAATAGGAAGTGAGGCAGCAGTCATGAAGAAAGCATGCAAGGAAGCAGTTATCCTGCAGGGAAGGAAAAAGCAGGAAAATTTTCAAGGGCAGAGATTAACATTACTCGGGGGAGGCTGCAGTGACAGGATTTGGGGAAGAGTAGAGAGGAACCGAACTACCAGGAAAAAATGGCCAGTGGATGCAGTAGGCAAAGAATCAAGGGGAAAGCAGAAGAAAATGGTAGGGCTCAGGTAAATGAGCATGAAGAGAGTCACTTATGCTTTTGTACCTGCTTAAATTGAGCTTTGTGCCTCCTTAAACCAGAAGCAAAATTGTGTTGGGACAGGTCTATGCCATAAAGTTCTGCAGGCATACTCACACTGGTCAGATGTACAAAGGGATACGATTTGCAACTGAGGTGAAAACCGAGCTACGATACCAAAAACAGTGAATGTTCAGAGTTATGCAGTCAGAACCATACTTTCACCAGCACAGCTTGTGTTATTCAGACAAGCCACACCGGCAAAAGTACGGTTTTGCTGACGTAAATTGTATCGGGGGTAGATATACTCTGCTGCAGCATATAGGGGCATAACTACACCAGTAGAGCTCTTTGCTTGTCAAAACAGCTATGCTGTATTAGCAGATTGTCCATAATGGAGACATGATTAAGACAGGTAAAAGGAATTCTTCTACGGACATTATGACTTCCACAGCAAAAACTGTCAGCAGAAGGTTTTTCCTGGCATAAGAAGTGGACCCAAGCTTTCATATAAGAAAGTATTTGCTTCTACAAAAAGAAAACTCAATAATTGCAAAGTGTCTGAATATTAGGACAATGTGGATAAGAGTATTTAATTCCTAATATTGACACTTAAACCTTCATTTGTCACTCTACATTCACTTGTTTTAAAATAAAGGATTCTTCAGAATAAAGTATTCTCAATACATTTTTCTGCATTCCTGTCTTCAACTTGGATAATAGATAATATGTTCCATCATCTTCTTTACTTCTGTGCAATGCAAAGAAGGTGAAAACTCTCTTAATGAGCATCTAGAGAGGAAAGATTTGGTAGGTAAGGTAAAAGTGCTACTAAACTTCTTTTTTTTTTTTTTTTGTTTTCAATTACTTCGGTGGTCAGATGGGACTGTGCTCTAACTAAAATGAAACTTGAAAAGGAAAAAAACCCTAAACCACTCTTATCAAAACGAGCGCAAGAAAGCTGTTACCCAAAATGATTCACCTAATGGAAATCTCAACTCCTGAAACAAATGATTTCTAAGAACAGGTCACAGACATCAGCCTCCTCCTCAAACAACTCCAAGTAACTAGAAAGGGCAGAAGACATTTAAACTCCAAATTTTCAGCTTGCAGTCAGTGTTTACAGTAAAGGATCAAATTGCTTGGGATTAATGTCTATGAAAATATCCTGAAATCCTAACAGTCATGCAAAATTTTTTCCTGCAATCTCTTGTGAAGTGATAATAGACTGCAGTGGCTCTCTAAACTCACCAGTGAAATAATCTTCTCAGGTACGAATTTTGATT